GCTTTACTATTTCCTAGGTTGTTTCTCAACCCACTCATGTTGACAATCAAGATTGGCCATCACTCTCTTAGACAAAGCCAAGACTCCTGGATCCTAGTTATTCGCCACCTCCAGGGCAATGGAAATAGCTGGCTCTCCAGTGTGTGATACTTTGTTTGCTTGAAAGCCTGGTTACAAGCTTTCCTTGGCAAATATCACACTTACTCAGGACCATCCCAGGCAGCCCTGGACACCCTTGCCCTGTAACTGGGACAGGTTTCAGCACACCCCAGAGCAACAAACAGCTTTCATGCAGGAAGAACTGTAGGATAGTGCTACTTATACCCGCAGATATCCCAGGAGCAAATGTGGAGACAGGTTTTGACAGTGTTAGGTGGCCAGAGTGGAAGAAACGAACACTGAATGTACTGCTGTAGATGGACTCAGCACAAGTTGTTCAGTGAACATCTGTGCAGCTGGAAGTGGCTCTAACAGCTTCTTGGTTGTGTGGGTTGGTTGGGGGATTTCAGAATCCACAGCTCAGGCGATGGGAGCTGTGGCATAGGTTCTTCATGCCCAATCTGAGGACTTCCCCTTTCAGAGCCTTAGAGCAATGCACATCAAGGGAGTCCCTTCCCCCGAGAAGCCTCACATGGGCTATGCTCTGTGGGTCTGTACATGGCCCGGGCCAGCCTCACTGATTTTGGTGTGAATGACATCCCCTGGTGGCAGAGGGTCATCTTTTTTTTTTTTTTGGCTGGTCATGGGGTCTGAACTCTGGGTCTGGGTGCTGTCCCTCAGCTCTTCAGCTCAAGGCTAGCACTCTACCACTGGAGCCACAGCGCCACTTCCGGCTTTTTCTGTTTATGTGGTGCTGAGGAATCGAACCCAGGGCCTCATGCTTGCAAGGCATGCACTGTACCGCTGAGCTACCTTCCCAGCCCTTTTTTTTTTTTTTTTAAATTGATTGTGGGGCTTGAACTCAAGGCCTGGGAGCTGTCTCTGAGCTTCTTCGTACCCAAGGCTAGCATTCTACCACTTGAGCCACAGAGCCACTTCTGGTTTTGGAGCAGTTAACTAGAGATTAAGAGTCTCATGGGTACTTTTCTGGCCAGGCTGGCTTCGAACAATGATCCTCAGATCTCAGCCTCCTAGTCATCCTAGTAGCTAGGGTTATAGGCATGAGCCACTGGCACCTGCCTGTAGAGGGTCATCATGTACCAATGATTTAGACAGCCTGGGTACCCATCAGGAGTGAAGTGACCAGGAAGGCATGACTATCAGGATGTTCCTAGAGATCTGCATCCCTAAGAATGGAAGATACTTGCAGCCTTCTAGGCATTACCTGAGCTACATAACACGTTCATAAGCAATGTTGATTAAGATAATGATGACTATCGTTGTGATGATTAAAAGTATTTTTTTTTTTTCAAAAAGAACCAAACAATCTGTCTGAAGTCATCCCTGGGGGTCTGGTCCCCCCATCCACATCCAAGCCAGGGCCACGTGTGACCACAGACTCATAGCCTGGGGCACTGGCTTTCTCTATACCTGACTGAAGGACTTACAGAGACTGGTATTGGTTCCAGATGGCTGGTAACTGCTAACACATAAAAACATCACTGGTCTGCTGGTCAAGATTGGAATCTGGTCATTAGGTGACAGATGGCATCTGAGTCACCAGAGGTACAGCAGGGCTACAAAGCCAGACTCAGGTTAGCTCCTCTGTTCCTAAACATGCGATTCTGACCACTGCCACAAACCCTCCAGGGCTGTTTGACGCTGAGAGCGAGGGGAAGAGGCAGGGCTCAGAACAGTTTTTTGGAACCTCCTCTTGTTACCAACCTAGCGAACCAAGTGCCCAGGTCACACTACTGAACGATCCTACATGCCACAACAGAATCCTGGGCAAACGCTCACCTTTGTATGAGCTACTCTGACACGTACCAAGAGACTAAAGCTGTTTGTCAGAGGGGACGGGCAGGATCAGGCTGTGCAGCAAGGCTGTTCCTCCTCACTGGCTTTAGGACAGCAAGGTCACAGCTAGGGGTGGGAGGCAGGGGGCAGTGAGGCCTCCATTCACAGGAACAGCATCCCAACAACACTGCAACTGCTCTGCAGACACCTGTTTTCCAGGAAGCAGTTCCTGGCTCACTATGGTGCTGTGGTAGAACTGAACCCACCACGGGATGCTGAGCAGCCGGACAGACTGAGCTTGCACCACGACCTCGGTGTGTGCTGGCCCGTAAACTCACTACTGGTGCAGGGTACACCACGGGCCTCCGCCCTAAGGGGGTGGGGCACTCGTTCATGGGCCCAAAGTGCACTCCCCCCTCCACCACGGCTCACCACTGTCTGCAGTGGCTCCGGACCAGGAGGATGCCACTCCCCAGCGGGCCGGACGACAAACTGAGCATTTAATTTCTACTTCCATAAGCCTGACCATAAGGACAGACTGCCAGGGATCCTTCACTTAATCCCAGGATTAAACAAAGGAGAATTTCACAGAACCCAGTTGTAGGAGGCCGTGTTGGCCTCTACAGAGAATGAAGCTGGAAACAGAAAAGCTGTGGGCAGAATGTGATTCCTCCCAAGCTGAGAAGACATGCTCTGTCCCACTCCTATTCTGCACTGTGCCATGTCCTGCCTTGCCAAACCACCCTAATCCTCTTGCCTTCAAGTGTTGCCATTTCTAGCTTCCTTACACATGGCTGACTTCCATTATACATGCCGTTCTGGAGCCTACATTTTCTTTTTTAACTAAAAAGGAAATACTCTCAGAAGCCTTTTGTTGTTGTTGTTGGTAGTGGGGCTTGAACTCTGGGCCTAGGCACTGTCCCTCAGCTCTTCAGCAATGTAAGTGCTCTACCACTTGAACCATAAGCCCCACTTCCAGTTTTCTGGTGGTTTATTAGAGGTAAGAGTCTTGAGAACTTTCCTGCCTAGGCTGGCTTTGAACCATGATCCTCAGATCTCAGCCTCCTGAGTGGCTAGGATTACAGGTGTGAGCCGCTGGCACCTGGCTTAGAAGCCAAATTTTTATTCTTCCTAATGGCTCTGTGGTATTCTATGGTAGGCCTGCTCCAGAATTGATGGAACTGACCTCTACGGGAGAGCCGCTGCAGGAGTTGGGTCTCTATGTATACATACCCCAGGTCTGATTTCTTAGCTCTGAAGGGCCTGTAAATGACCACTGCTGCAGTCTGTATCCAGAAAATACCCAGATCTTCAGATAGAAGCACGCTTTGCATGGCAACCTAGCTCAAGCTTTGGAGGGAAAGTGGCTGGGAGGAGATGAAGACAGAACTTCTATTAGCACCAGAAGTGATGTCACTGGGTCAGGCCCTTGGCATCCAGTTTTTGGGTATTACTCATTCTGGCTAATTCTTCTTCTTCTCCTTTTTTTTTTTGCCGGTCATAGGGCCTGAAATCTGGGCCTGGACACTGTTCCTCAGCCCTTCAGCTCAAGGCTGGCACTCCACCACTTGAGCCACAGCATCACTTCCAGCTTTTTCTGCTTATGTGGTGCTGAGGAATGGAACCCAGGGCCTCATGCATGCAAGGCAAGCACTCTACCACTGAGCCACCTTCCCAGCCCTTATTATTATTATTAATTTTTTGTTGGTTGTAAGGCTTGAACTCTGGGCCTGGGCACTGTCCCTGCACTCTTCAGCTCAAGGTGAGCGCTTTACTGCTTGAGCCACAGTGACACTTCTGGTTTTCTGATGATTAATTGGAGATAAGAGTGTCACAGACTTTCCTGCTGGGGCAGGCTTTGAACCATGATCCTCAGATCTCAGCCTCCTGAGATTACAGAAGTGAGCCACCGGTTCCCAGTGTGTGGCTAATTCTTAATTCCAAAGAAAGACTCTGCATAGCAAGAGAAAAGCTGGGCAAAAGTCAAAAAGACTTTTTCTTGCTTTATTTTTTGTTTCTAAAAATGCAGGTGCACATATGGGTGCAATGCTACCATTGAGCGAGAGGCGAGGGGAAGGATGGCAGGGGCCAGGGCTGAGCTGGGGTCCCTGGCTGGACTCTCCAGAACAGCTCTGTGTGGAACAAACAATACAGTAGGTTGAAATCAACACTCCAGGATACGGACAGCCCTGGGTTCCCTAGGGCTCAGGCTGAGGCTGCCCTCCACAGGCCTGGCTTGAAATCACACTCTGGTTGGGACTTCCTGTAGTTCCTTCATAGACTACTTACAAGTTCTTGGCTTAGTGATTAATACTGGGGAACAAAACTGAAGACCTTACTTGGTGAGGGTGTGTGTATGTATGTGAATTCACATGCATATACTTCATTACATTAATGTAATTTGGTGATGACAGTGAGTGCCTTATTTAAGGCTTTTTTTTATCTGCAATGAGAAGTCATACTGATACAAAATGAACCACAATAAACACAAGCTTAATAGGAAAATAATCAGGTTCAAATTTTCTGCTACTATAGATCAATGAAGTTCTCTCTCAAGAGATTATCTACTTTAATCTTTTAACCAATCTTATTAACTTTTCTTAAATTCACTTCTTTTAAACTAGTCTTACTAAGATTAACCTATCTTATTTTGAATACTTATATTTCCCTCACTAAAAAGTCCATCTGGCTACTATGTGGGAGGCAGGACAGCTTGGCTCAAATGAGCTTGGCTCCAGCACCCCTGGCCTCCAATTTCAGACCCTTTCTTTCGCACACCAGCCGTAGAGTGTGTGAACCTACTGGCTGATGTTCTCACACTAGAACCTGAGTTTCCTCATCTGTAGATAAGAGGAGAGTGACAGCACATCCCTTCTGAGGCTGCCACAGAGATGAAGAACTCGACAAACCCTGGTTGCAGGGCCTGGTATGTGGAAGGGTCTCGGGAAATGTTTTCTGGCATGCCTAGTTTGAAATGACCATGGTGAGTAGCCATGGAGAGCACACTGCACAAGGTCAGGAGCAGGGTACACAGGTACCTGTTAGGTGGTGTCCAGAAGTGGGGTACTCATTTGTAAGGTAATGTCAGGAAGTAGGGTACTCACTTGTAAGGTGGTGTCAAAGACAACGAGCTTGGAGCTGGTTGGAACGATATCGTAGCACTTGTGGGACCTCATGAATCGCATGTAAACGCCACTTTCTGAGTCTTCTGCTAAAAGAAAGTCAAAGTATTAGTAATAATAAAGAACTCACTGGGATATGCTAAATTAGACAGGAATCCAGATACACACAGTGAGCTCAAAGAGGATACTCGTAGGAGAGAAACACAGGGCACAAAGCCTATGTGCCGCTTCATGTTTACATTGAGAACTATATATATTAAAACAAACTCCAAGATATGGAAACAAGGTATCTTTTTTAAAAATTTTAATTTTTTGATGATTCTGCCTTTTCTTTATATATAGTGTATCCCTTTGGGAGGGTGGAGGAGGGTACAGAACTCGAGGGAAAAAGAATGAAAAATGTGTAGCAGTGGAGCTCACTGGACACTGATGAGAGTAAACGAGTTGTATACAACTTGTGGGAGGAGATGGGAGGTAGGGACTGGGAGAGAGTGAGGGAACTAAAGACTGTACGGAAGGAAATGCATCATTGTCTGACACATGTAATTTTTTTTGGGGGGGGCATCCAGTCGTGGGGCCTGAACTCTGGGCCTGGGCGCTGTCTCTCAGCTCTTCAGCTCAAGGCTAGAGCTCTACCACTTGAGCCACAGTGCCACTTCCGGCTTTTTTCTTTTTGCTTATGTGGTGCTGAGGAATGGAACCCAGGGCCTCATACATGCAAGGCAAGCACTCTACCACTGAGCCACCTTCCCAGCCCCTGACACATGTAATTGTAATCCTTCGGTATATCACCTTTACAATAACAATACAGTAAATTAACTAAAAAATAAAAATAAAGAACTCCCTCTCTCAACTGATGAAGAGCCCTGTGGAAAACACCCTATACCAATTTGCTGGGAGAGTATGAAGCGGCCTCTCTGAAAGGGCAGGGCTGGGAAAGGACAGAGCTCTCACTGACTATCCTACGTGGCATTACGGGTCTCTGCTGGCACAATGGGCCAGGGAGAAAAAGGAAGACTACGGGTACTCCATGTGCATGTGCCAGGGCTTCTGCAGAGGAAACTGGGAACGATCTGGGCATCATGGCAGGTGGCCATCCAGGTCCTCTGGGGGCAATGTTATTCCTAGGCATTACTGCTGGCTCTTCTACCCAGAAGCCTAGCTGTCCAATGACCCAACCGATGCCTAAATAGGAGAACACAAGTTAGAGCAAGAGGATTCGGGCGTGGCAGCACCAGCCCCTGCCCCATGGCTTCCTCTGTGTGTGGGGTGCTGTCCTCACTGGAGACACTGACTCTACACTGTCACGCAGCCACCAAGGACAAGAGCATGTGTGAGGCAGAGGTAGCAGAGGATGGATAGATGGAAGCTGAGACATTTATTATCTCTCAGAAAATGGGAGTCCCACCAAGGAAGAGATGAAACACGGAAAGCCCTAAGAATATGGGGCCAGAAAGTTCTGAGCATTTCTGTCATGATTATTACCATGTACTTTCCTCATAGCTGGCTCTGTGGGGAATTTGTGGGTACACATGTCAAAGATGAGAGCAGCCTAGCTCACATTGCACTAATATTTAAGATACTGCCTATATTCCATTCACCTATATTCCATTCATTCCAATGAATGAAACCAAGAGGAAATCTAACCATGGGAAAATGCAACAGCCTATCTCACAGAAAGGGAAAACAAAAACAGAAACCAAAAAAAACCACTTCACAAGCCATTTTCTCCTTGTCAAAGATATCCCATATTATGGGTGTCCTTTCTACTCTAAGAATATCTGAGATAAAAAATTTAAATACTACAAAGTAGGAATATGTACATTTTCACAAAATTAGTTAGTCTTGTGTTAGATATATTTTAAAGCATACCACATCTTAATTCCTCTCTTGCCTTAAAAATATTTAAAGAAACATTGTACTATGACTTACAGAAAAATTGCGAAGATAAAATAGGCCCTATATACCACATGCTAGCTTTCCCTTAGATTGAACTTGCTTAATTTACTGGTCTAGACTTTTTTTTTTTGGCTGGTTGTGGGGCTTGAACTCTGGGCCTGGGCACTGTTCCTCAGCTCTTCAACTCAAGACTTGCACTCTACCACTTGAGCCACCTTCCCAGCCCCTAGACTTTTTATCACTATGACAAAATCCCTGAGGAAACAACTTACAGCATCAGGCCTTCTCTCGGCGCAGTGTGGAGGTTTTGGCCCATGGCAGGCTGGGCCTATGTTTCTGGGCCCATGGCAAGACAGAGATTTACTCATCTCCTGGCAAGCATGTCTTAATTGAATCAAACTGATCACTGAGATTAACCACCAGAATCTTCCAGTCTACTTAACACTCAAATACATCCCTTTAATCCCTAATATACTCCTCAACACCCCAAAGGCTGTATCCATTTCAAAGTGCAAAACATACCCAATCCAGCTCCAAGACTCTCCAAAGTTTAACATTGCCAGCATTGACCAGAAGTCCAAGTTTAAAGTCCTCTTTTTGTAAGCACTTGTAAATTTTTTAATAATTTTTATTGAGATTAAGTGATTACATAAATCTTACAAATTTCACAGTATTGTGGGATAGTGATACTTAAAGTCACAAACACACTTTAACCTTCACAAGGCAAACTGTCATTATCATGGATTATAAAATTTGTTAAGCTTTGACAATACAATTATTTCTTCCACATGGGTGATATGTACATTTCTTTCCTTTTGCTCAGTGTCAGCTGTTCCCTCTTTCCCGTTCACTCCCTCCCTCCCATCGCTGCCCTGGAGTTGCTTAGTTCATTTTCATCCATGTCCAGTGTGGATGATGGGCCCCTCTGTTGTTTATTATCCCCATTTCCCTCTGATTCTGTGCCCTCCTCCTACCTTCCCTCAGATGTGCATATATATACACACACACACACACACACACACACACACACACACACACACACACACACACACACACACATATACATACATATACATACACACACCATATATGAGGTCAAGAACATGGAGTCATTTAGAAATTATATGACAAATTAAGTAGATGTTCTTTGTTTCTCGAGTCCGGTTTACTTTGTCATATCTCCTTGCATTTTGGATTTAACAACCACATATCAGGGAGACCATGTGCTGTTTGTCTCTCTGCTCTTGGCTTACCTCACTCAATATGATTTGTTCTAAGTTCTATCCATTTCCCTGTGAATACCATTATTTTGTCCTTTCTAATGGTTTCGTAACATTCCATTGTATATAGGTACAATTTCTGGATCTGTCGTGGGGCATCTGGGTTGTTTCCATATCTTGGCTATTGTGAACAGCACTTGTAAAATTTAAATAGCAAGTTTCATACTTCCAATCAATATACAATGGCACAGAGGGGAGGAATAGAGGCATAGAAAGGAGGCATGGGACTGAACAAAGGCCCAAACACAGCAGGGCAAACAGTAAACCATGTGGGGCATCAGGAACATGGGGTTGTGACCAAGATCCAACCAGTGGGGTAGCCCCGCCCCTTGGGCCTTGCTGCGTGCAAACCTGGCTGACCTCCCCGGCCGTCTTCACTGGCTGCAAACCTGACTCTCCCGGCTGTCCTCACTGGCTGCAGCTTTCCTTGGCAGATGCTGCATGCCCCTGGCATCTCCACCGAATCTTCAGTTTCAATCTCAGAGACATCTCCTCTCAGAGGCTGCCTGCAGGGACTCTGACCTTGATACACAGTCAGGTGTCCCAGGCCTTCCTCTGTGATCTGGGCAGAAGGACTTGCAATTCTGAATGCCTGCAAAACCAGCATTGCATAGATGCCACTAAGTTCGACCATTGGTTCCGGTGGAAGCCAGGCCTCCTTGGACCACGGTTGTGCCTGAATGGCTAGGTATGATATGGGGAAAGACTTCCCTGGGTGGTTCAGGGCAACAGGATGCCCAAGAGTTCTCTTCTGAAGGCAGAGTCTTTCCTCTTGAGATAGATGTGGTCCAAGCAATTCCAGACAAGTGCTCCAGGCATCTTGCTATGTGTGGCTTCTTTGTAATGGCCTGCATCTCTCTTTTTTTTTGGTCGGTCGTGGGGCTTGAACTCTGGGCTTGGGCGCTGTCCCTCAGCTGTTACAGCTGAAGGCGAGCACTCTACTGCTTGAGCTACAGCGCCACTTCCAGTTTTCTAGTGGTTTATTGGAGATAAGAGTCTCACTGACTTTGCTGCCCGGATTGGCTCTGAACCGTGATCCTCAGATCTCAGCCTCCTGAGTAGCTAGAATGATAGGCATGAGCCACCGGCGCCTGGCGCCTGCAACTCTTCAGCAACCACATTTCCCTTGGTTTTAACTTTATCCATGCTTTTTTTTTTTTTTTTTTTTTGGTCGGTGGTAGGGCTTAAACTCTGGGCTTAGGCACTGTCCCTCAGCTCTTCAGCTCAAGGCAAGTGTTCTACCACTTGAGCCACAGCACTGCTTCTGGTTTTCTGAGTGGTTTATTGGAGATAAAGAGTCTCAGGGATGTTCCTGTCCAGGCTGGCTTTGAACTGTGATCCTCACATCTCAGCCTCCTGAGAAGCTACAATTACAGGCGTGAACCACGCGTTTTTTTTTTTTTTTTGGGGGGGGGGGGGCAGTCCTGGGACTTGAATTCAGGGCCTGCACACTGTCCCTGAGCTTCTTTTGTTTAGGGAGGGCTAGTACTCTACCACTAGAGCCACAGCGCCACTTCCAGCCTTTTCTGTTTATGTGGTACTGAGGAATCGAACCCAGTGCATGCTAGGCAAGCACTCTCCCACTAAGCCACATTCTCAGCCTTAAGTTTCACTGAAGTGTGAAGGGCTAGGACCACCCAAGAGTGGGAGTTTACTGAATTACCTTTCATCTCCAGGGCCTGGCTTACTGGCCAGGGTATGTAGGTTGAAGATCTGCGGTCTTAGGAGCTGTTAGTTGACCCAGGTTGAATAGAAAGGAGGCTCTGAATCCTTAGGTGGTAGAGTTCACAAAAGCCCGATCTACTGTCACTGCATGACCTCGGTGGGCCACACACGAGGGGAGACAAGCTTAATGACAAAGCTGTTCTTGGAGACCCTGTGACCCCCATGCCTCCTTCAAGTTTCCTTTG